CCCCAGCACGACCACCCCCCTAGCACGACCACCCCCCAGCACGACCACCCCCCAGCACGACCACACCCCAGCACGACCACACCCCAACACGACCATACTCCATCACGACCACACCCCAGCACGACCACACCCAGTCGCACCCCCGTGGAATGTTTCGTGGGGTGTCTGGTTGAGTGGTTGCCTGTTCGTGGGGTGTCTCGTGGAATGTTTCACGGGGTGTCTCGTGGAATGTTTCGTGAGGTGTCTCGTGGGTTGTTTCGTGAGGTGTCTCCTGGGATGTTTCGCGGGGTGTCTCGTGGGATGTTTCGTGAGGTGTCGCCCAGTTGGGTATCGTGAAAACGTGACCATGCTGCACATGTCTATATCCCTTTCCGGGTTCGTGGGTCCATCATGTTCGGGCCAACATCAGCCCGAACCGGCCCAAGAGGCTCCAAATATCGCCCCAAGATAGCCCAAGAGGCCCCCCAAAGAGCCCGAAAACGATCCAGAGTGCCCTAGACAGCCCAAGAGGGCTCCAAGACGGCCCAAGAGAGCCCCAAGAGCGCCCAAAGATGCACCCAAGAGGGCCCCAAGACGCCGCCAGGAGAGCCCCACGACGGCCAAAGGCCTCCAAGACGCCCCAAGACGGCCCAAAAGGGCCCCGAGACGACCCAAGAGAACCCCAAGAGGACCCTAAAAGGGATCCAAAAGGGCCCCAAGAAGACTCCCAAGAGGCCCCAAAACGCTACATGACACCAGGGCTCCCAAAACTGAGCTTAAATGGCACCCCCAGAAGCCTTTCAATATTTCTTTTCCTCCATCCTTCTTTTCTCCGTCTCCCTCCTTCTCTTTCCCGTTATCCTCTTGGAAGCCTCTTGGAAGCTTTTCCCGGAAAGGGCTCGAGCCCAGGGTTCTCTTTTAGTTGGTAAACCTGTCCCCCGGTGCCAACTTGAAGGAGGCCGGCGAATTTTTTCCCTGATAAATATCGAGGTCGAAGGAGGCCGGCGAATTAAAATTTGAGGATGTCTCGAGCGAAACGCTTGTTTTTGAAATCCCGATCGATAAATCACAGGGTGCGGGCCACTTTTTCGTGTGTTGAGGATGTCTCGAGCGAAACGCTTGCTCCGCAGAGTTTGCCGAGGATGTCTCGAGCGAAACGCTTGTTTTGCAGAGCCGACCGCGACGCGGAAAAGCGCCCCGCGCGAAGGAATTTCGATGATGTTTCGACTAATTCCTTTGTTTTTGTACGATTTCCTGGAATTTTGGCAGGATGTCTCGAGCGAAATGCACGACCCCACCCTAGCACGACCATACCCCAGCACGACCACACCCCAGCACGACCAGACCCCAGCACGACCCCACCCCAGCACGACCCCACCCCAGCACGACCATACCCCCGCACGACCACACCCCAGCACGACCCGACCCCAGCACGACCCTACCCCAGCAAGACCACACCCCAGCACGACCACACCCCAGCACGACCTCACCACAGCACGACCACGCCCCAGCACGACCACGCCCCAGCACGACCACGCCCCAGCACGACCACGCCCCAGCACGACCACCCCCCAGCACGACCACCCCCCCAGCACGACCACCCCCCAGCACGACCACCCCCCACGCACGACCACACCCCAGCACGACCACTCCCCACGCACGACCACACCCCAGCACGACCACACCCCAGCACGACCACACCCAGTCGCACCCCCGTGGAATGTTTCGTGGCGTGTCTGGTTGAGTGGTTGCCTGTTCGTGGGGTGTCTCGTGGAATGTTTCACGGGGTGTCTCGTGGAATGTTTCGTGAGGTGTCTCGTGGAATGTTTCGTGAGGTGTCTCGTGGGATGTTTCGCGGGGTGGGACGACCACGGCCCCAGCACGACCCCCCCCCAGCAAGACCACCCCCCACACGACCACCCCCCCAGCACGCACGACCACGACCCCAGCACACCCCAGCACGACCACACCCCAGCACGACCACCCTCCCCCCGTGGAATGCACGACCACTCGTGGACCTCCGTGAGCTCGTGGAATGTTTCGACGAGGTGTCACACCCCAGACCACCCCCCAGCACGACCACACCCAGCACGACCCCCCAGCACGACCACCGCACGACCACCCCCACGACCACCCCCAGCACGACCACACCCCAGCACGACCACACCCCAGCACGACCACACCCCAGCACGACCACACCCAGTCGCACCCCCGTGGAATGTTTCGTGGCGTGTCTGGTTGAGTGGTTGCCTGTTCGTGGGGTGTCTCGTGGAATGTTTCAAAGGGTGTCTCGTGGAATGTTTCGTGAGGTGTCTCGTGGAATGTTTCGTGAGGTGTCTCGTGGGATGTTTCGCGGGGTGTCTCGTGGGATGTTTCGTGAGATGTCGCCCAGTTGGGTATCGTGAAAACGTGACCATGCTGCACATGTCTTTATCCCTTTCCGGGTTCGTGGGTCCATCATGTTTGGGCCATCTTGGACGCCTCCTGGGCCGTCTGGAGGGCATCTTGGGCGTCGTGGAGCGGTCTTCGGGCGTCTGGAGCCCGTCTTGGACCGTGTTGGGGGCCTCTTGGCGCCTCCTTGGGGCGATCTGGAGGGCCCTGGGGGGGTGTCTCGGGCAGCTCTCGGGCAGCTCTCGGACAGCTCTCGAGCCGTGCCCGGGGTACTTTTGGTCCGGGACCCCCCAGGGCGTTTTGCTCTGCCGTGGGGCTCTCCTGGGGAATTAGTGGGACCTCCCATGGCCCGCGTGAGTCTCTTTTGGGAGCCTCGTGAGCTTGTTTTGGGCTGTCTTGGGGCAGTCTCGGGGTCCTCTTGGCCCAGTTCGAAGCCTTCTTGGGTGCCTCTTGGGCCGCCTTGGGGCGATCTCGCAGGCTTCTTGGGCCGTGATGGACGCTGCTAAAACACAGAGGGCGAGTATGCTAAACATGTACGCTTTCCGTCGTGAAGGAGAGGATGTGTGCCTCTCTTTGGGGCCTCTCGGGCCGTCTGGAGGCCGTCGTGCGCTGCCGTGGGGCTCTCTTGCGCCTCTCCGATCTTTTTTCTGGTCGCTTGGAGCTTGCTGGCCAGGCCCAGCAAGGCTCCCTGGGAGGCGCGGCAGGTCTGGGGGGCCTCTTCCAACGGCGTCCAAGGGGCCCTCAAGCTTCAGATCCCGGGGGAGTGTTTCTTTGGGGGGGAAGGGACGTTTTGTCCCAGGAAGGAGGAGGAGGAGGAGGAGGAGGAGGAGGAGGAAGAGGAGGAGAATTTGTGACGCAGGGACGGCGGAGGGGGAGATGGAGGACAAAGTGGAGGGCGAGGAGGAGGAGGGGGAGGAGGAGGAGGAGGAGGAGTCGCACTGATCGGGGGATGGAGGTCGAGGAGGAGGAGGAGGAGGAGGATGAGGAGGGAAGGAGGAGGGAAGGAGGAGCAGGCCGCGATGGCCGACGCGAGATTCTCAATTGAAGCGCCGCGCGCTGGAGCGCGCGCGAACCCGCGACCCCGCGAGCCCGCAGCGGAGGACAAGCCGGACCCCGCGGCGTGCTGCTTGTGCTGGGCGCTGGGCGCGCGGGAGCACACGGGGGTCCGCCGCGGCGGCGCGCGCGCGCGGGGCCGCCGCCGGCAGGCTCTGGCGGCGTTGGCGGCAGCTGGCGACTGCGACGGCGGCGGCGGCGGGGCACCGTTCGGGAGCGAGAGGAGGACGCACATCAGAGGAGGAAAAGGTACACATACCGCTGCCCTCTGCCCGGTGCCCTCTTTTCGGGCGTCCTGAGAGGCCCTCGTCGCCACCGTTGGATTCGCTCCGAGATTCCGGTCAGAGAGCATCCCGGGAGAGGCCCGTGGAGTAGCGGTATCGGTACTTTTCGGTTACCCCAGTACACGCACGGTCGG